GCTGATATTACTGTAAGTCACGTCCTATCCATAAGATGTATTTTATATGTTACATGTCAAATTCTTCCAGCTTTTTCTCCTCTCTAATGATTGCCTTGACTCTGCCCAAAATTTTAGATTGAGATCCATGAAATCTGATGAGATTGTTGGCAGCTTTGACGAAACTTGACATGCCTGTCACACAATCTTTCTCATATGTGAACATATTGTCCATCTCCACTTTATTCAGACCTCACTTTATATTCCAAAATATTTTCCAACATTTCTTTGCAAAGCCCTGCATGTTTAAAATGACATCTAAACCAGTCTACCTTACATTTTATTTTGTGTTCATGAATGGGATTTTTTCCTATTCAATTAAAATCTTCTTATACTAATATATTGAATGTTATTTTAAAATATTTTGTTTGTATTTTTATTTTATGTGTATGAGTATTACATCTGTATTGCCTACATGTATGGAAGTCCATCTGTGCATACAATGCCCTCAGAGGTCAGAAAAGGGTGTTGGGTGCCCTGGAACTGAAGTTATGGTTGGTTGGTAGCCACTATATGGGTGCTGGGAACCAAACGCAGGTTCTGTGGAGGAACAGCAAGTGTTCTTCACTGCTGAGCCATTCTCCAGCCCTAAAAGTTGTTTTCAATGCTGATATTATGGGCAGAAAGTTACCACACTGATACTGTTTCCATCTGCTGATTTGTAGAGCCCCTTGAGTTTTCTGTGTAAACATGCTTTCCAACTCTTGTAGGACCTGCAGTAAATTTTTTCATGAAGGTATTAAATCTTCATATTTTTATTCTACTGACATTTACCAGAATGTTCTAAGACACATCCCTATTTTTAAAAGATTTGATGGCGGGTTGATTTATGCTTTTATCATGTTAAATTTTTATCAGTTTAAAATGTTAAGTTTTAAGAAATATTCATTAAGTGTTCCCTTTTTGTTGGTCTCTTACAACTGATCTTTTATAACCGTTTTCCTAAAATAGTTGTCATAACAAGTTATCTTGTCCAGTATTTGATCATATTGACTTTGATCAGTGTGGGTGTGCGGGCTGTGGGTGTGGGTGTGTGAAGTTTATCAGAATTTCTCTCCTTAAGAACCCTTTCATTCTTCCCTCTTCTTGCTTTCTCCAGAGGACCAGTAGCTATAGGTTTCCTCAAACCTCAACATGCTTGATGTATTATTCTTTTCCTGTTGGTCTTTAAAGAACTTCTTTAACCTAAGTGAAAGTCAGACTTGTAAGTGGTCAAACCTAATGCTTTGTGGTTCTCTCGAGATACAACACACACAGGGCTGGAGAGATGGCTCAGCAGTTAAGAGCACTGGCTGCTCTTGCAGAGGACCCAGGCTTCGATTCCCAGCACCCACGTGGCAGATAACAATCATCCATAACTCCAGTTCTGGGGGATCTGATACTCTCTTCTGACCTCCATGGGCATTGCACAACATGCCTGCACTTATACTGAGACACATAAAACGATAAATAAAATATTTTGAAAATAAAATAGATATAACATGGACAAATGAACGAAGGCAGACTCAGTGCACAGCCGCTTCTCCCCATGAGGCTGTGGCCGTGAGAAGCATGTCCGCCCAGCTGTCCCAGTTTACACAGCCAGAGTGTTCCCACATGTAAAATTTCCTTCCTTCTAAGGAATGCCTCTGAAATTCATCTTCCTCTTATTTGGGTTTGTCTTTTTTGTAGCCGCTATAATAACAATTAGTGATTCTTACAACAGGCAAGTTCTTATTCCTGGAGATGTCCACAGCGTCCCGGGATCTCGCGAGAAGAAAAACATTCTTCAGAGTGCTAAGCTAGCAACAGATAACCACAGCCTCGACATAGAAAGGACACTCCAAAAATAAAAAATGAAAGTGCTATTCTACCATTTTTAAACAAAGATAACTGTTTAGTTTGCTGTCACTTAGTGGGACTGGGGATCAAATCTGAGGCCTTGTACATGCTAGGCAAGTCCTCTACTGCTGAGCCACAATGCCAGCCCTTCACTGAAATATATGATGCCCTTTGACCAAGGTGAAGAGAACATCCAACAACCATGCACTGAAAACCAGCTGTTTTAGGCTCGTCTCTGAGAACTTGGATTGCCCTGTTGGTATGTATTATCTAGTCTATGTTTAAGCAGGTCAGGCTTCATTTAACTTTGCCTTCAAATTTTCACTTTTCAATCAGTGCAAGACTACAGCACAAGAACAAACTCTATGAAAACATAGGATTATGTGTGTCAAGTTTTGTCATTCATTCTTACTAACCTCTGTCAAGGACAGACGAGAAATCATTTTGCAATGCAACCTGATTTGCTGGATGCTCTTGGTTCAGATCTGCAGCCGTTTGACGGTTTGTAGAAGTCTGCATGGCTGCCTTTCACCCATAAGTAACTACTAAAGATCACAAGGAGAAAAAGGGAAGCAATTTGATTTAAATCAATGTGGCACCATTGTTTAAGAACATGAACGTTTAAGTTAGAAGTAGGTAACCTTAAAATACTGTTTAAACAGCTTAAAAGAAGCTATGTTAATGAACCTTCAATAAATATGATAAACCTGTGACCTATTGTCATGAACCAAGAGAACTGAAAGATTATTTTTGTAAAGAAAAATAACGAAAGCATCACTTGAGAGCCCAAACCTGAAAAGAATATTTATAGTTAGGTTTCAATTAGCATGTTACATTTATTAGAATATAGACACTTTATTGAGGATGTCTATCTTGGTCTATGTTCTGTTGAGTAACAATGCACAGAACTAAATATCAATGTGGTTTAAAACATGCTTTCATGTGTAATTTGCATTGATAAGGTACTCGACAAACAGTCTCCTGATGATTTTAGTTTATAATGCTTAGCTCTATTCTCACCCTCTGAAAACAAGTTATCCAACCTGCATGTCACATTTTACTATAAGACCAAGTTTAAAGCTATGAGGTTTTCAACATGTGTGTTAAGAAATAATTCTTAAAACAGTTATCATCACTCTTTCCTTCCTCTACAGGTGTTCTGTCACTACTGTAAGGTGGGTTCTATAGCTTTCTCAGTTTCAGACTGAGGTAATTTATAATCTGAATACAAGTTTTTCATGTACCTTATAGTCAATACAAATTATCAAATTGTTAAATAGTATAGTTTATGTCAAAGAAGGGTACTATCAGACCAAGGCTCACGCCTACAATTAGTGCCTGTTAACATGAGCTGCCTTTCTGTTGCTGTCATAAGATGCTATGACCAAGTAAACTTACAAAAGGCAGAGTTTATCAGACTTATGATTCTAGAAGATAAGAGGCAGCCAGAGCAGAAAGCTGAGCACTCACATCCTCAAGCACAAACAGAAAACTCACAGAGATAAACTTAAAATGGGTCAAGGCTATGAACTCTCAAAGTCCACCCCCAGTGCCTTGCTTCCTCCAAATAGGCCACACCTCCTAAACTTCCCCAAACAGCACCACCAACTTGGGCTGAGTGTTCAAATACTTAGAGCCTAATGGGGAACATTCCTCATTCAAACCACTACACAGAACAATAGTAATCTTGAATTTACTGGCCTAAATTATCCAAACCATCCTTAAATTTTATTCTGGATAATGTACTTCAACATTAAACGAGCAAAAAAAAGTCTGTTTATGAAAGTATTTTTGTCCTAAGTTAACAAATTAAATAGAGATCGTAGTTTCATTTTTCTGTGAAACTAGTCTGTCTGTGTGTATGTGTACAGGTGTGTGTGTGTGTGTGTGTTAGTTATAACAGTATTTAATAATGATAAGAAACCATTCCAAGATATCAGATATCGAAATAGTTTAACTGTTTCAGTGAACTATACATATCAAAGGTTTCTAAAATCTCTACACAGACTGTTGGTATTTTATAAAGTACTGTGCTCACAACACCCTGATCCTCAATCCTCAGCTGTATTTTAACATATTTACTATAGTTATAAAGAGATGTTTCATGTGAATTTTTTGTTTGATATGAATTTTACCTTTGTATTTTTAAAACACACTGAATGATTACCCTTATTACTTAACCCCAGATGAGTTTGCAATGACAGAATGTGATATATATAAATATTTGAAGGGTTTGTAAATTGTATTTTAGTCAATTTTTCTAAATTTATTTCATTAAAAATAGACGCACCATAATAATTCCGGGTGGTGTGCTGTTGAAGAGCAAGATGCTCTGCCTTGCTTGGTAAACCTCCCACTGTTTTTATTTTTGTTGCCCGATGGTGTTTTATATTAAACTTCCTGGTATATCAGACCCCATAGGAAAGCTCTAGTTCCCTCAGCAGGTCCAGTGTTAAACACTCCGCTGGAAACATTGTGTCTACTGTACTGCACTCTAATGTGGCGACAGTGTTTCCATGTCACGTGGTCAGAGGGAGGCAGATTAAGCAGAGCTCTAGCTGGAAATTTCCTCTCCTTATTGTTTGTCCCTCCGCAGCTCATGGCTAAGTTCATTCTCCTTAGTTGTGTCAAGCTCTGACACACAGCACCAAGCCATGGTGAGCTGTGCAAGGAAGAAGGCTGTCCATCAAAGTCTTCACCATGTTTTTTTTTTTTTTTTTAAACTTTGGCTTGATCAGATGGGCCATTCAAAAAAAAAAAAAACTTCAAAGGATTATTTTTTAAAAAGAAAGAAAGGTTCAATATGCCCCGAGGCTATCGGTTTTGAGTTAAACTGGGTGAAGTAGAAATATTTTACTCATCAGCTTTGCAGTCACAGAGTCTGCCTCAGCTAGAACAAAACTGCTGAGGCATTTAGAGAAAATTAACCCCCCATCCTGGCGGCCAGATGTGACTGGTCTCTGACGAATGCACATGACTGGGCTGGAAAATCAAGAGACTGTGAAATTCCTGTCAGGTCCGTACAGTGCAGAATGGGCCATTGACTGCTTTCTATATTTCCTTCATCATTCTTCTCCAACAGTGCCATCAATTTCCTCTCCTCTCCTGACTTGTGCTTTCTCCCTCCCTGTCGCCGTTAGATCTGTGAGCTGCAAAGAAGGATGGACAAGCAGTGGCAGGAGTACTCCCGGCTGGTGATCCTCTTTTACCAGAACAGGCTGGCCAAGTTCCAGAGCGAGTCTCAAGAGGGCGTTCAGAAAATATTAGCTGTGCAGGTAGGTGACTGATCGAGATAGAAAAGCCAAATGATGGAGATGAAGCATTAAAACCACATCCCATCCGAGTTTATAGATTTTTAACCTCTTTGATAAACTGGAATTGCATGAAGGATGAATTCGGTAAGTTAGCACATATGGCATGCATACTTTGGGGGAGAGGGAGCTTGGTCTTCTCACAGATTTTTATACATACGCTTGCTAGAAATGTGCTATTTCAAACCATCAGGATTTGGGACTGCTACCATGCTCTGTGTGTGTGTGTGTGTGTGTGTGTGTGTGTGTGTGTGTGCGCGCGTGTGTGTGTGTGTGTGTGTGTGTGTCCATGTGGAGGCCTGAGGTGGATATAGTTTGTCTTCATCTATCACGCTTCCTTTTTGAGACAGAGTCTCTCACCGAACCTGGGTCTCTCTGTTTCCGCCAGTCTAGCTGGTCCACGAGTCCCAGGTACCCTCCCATCTCCATCTCCCCAGCTCTGGGATGGTAGGCACAGGCCACTGGGCTGTGCCTGGACTTTTCACACGGGTGCTGGGCTTCTGAACTCGGGTCCTAGGCCTGTGCAGCCAGAATTTTACCCGCTGAACCTCTCCCCAGTGTTGGCATTCTGCTGTAAAAATATGATGGTGGTTACCTGGTGATGCCTGTACAACAACATGTGCTTTGCTGGCAACAAAGCACCTTGTCTGTCTTTAACTGTTCTCTCTCTCCTTCTGTTCAGCTCATCCTTCTAAGCAGATACAGAAGTGACTCTATTTGAAAAATAAGCCACTTGGGACTAGCTATGGCTCCAGATGCATGTGACATTCTGCTGCTGTATGAAAAGCATTTTGAGTCTGAAAAGCATTTAGTGATTCACTTGCCTTTAAGACTCTGAAATAGTTGGGAAACTCCTGTTTGTCATGTGAAGTCTATTGCTAGAATAGTACTGAGAGTTGTTTCAAATGAATGTTTTCACATTTCAAATAACATAAGGTGTGTTAAACATGACATCCCAAAGGAAAACACATTCTATTTGGTTTTATTAAGAAGCTAAATGAGAAAGGCTCACCTGTTCCATGAAGAACAGAAACACCACCATCGTCTTCCGAGCCACAATCGTCAGTAACTGGTGCCATTAGCAAAGAATATCAAATCCCAAAGCACATGTGCTTTCAAACATTTTGATTATACATGTACTTCATGCTGCTTTTACTACAAGAAAAATATTTTGTGAAGCATTTCCACAGCTCCTGAGCTATTTCAAATTTCATTCTCATTGATGACATTTTTAGCATTTTCATATGAGAAGTGTGTGTACTTTACATATTGATTCTATTGAGAATGGGTTATAAAAATGGAAATAATGAAAGGATTAAAGGAAAGTTTTAAAAAGGCAATGCCTGGTGCAGGAAAGTTTAATAGAAATTTATACACAAATAAGTACAAATGAAAATTACATTAGTTGAGACTTCTGTAGCTTTTTTGTTTTCCTTTAAAAGTCCGTTAACATAAAGCATATTAAAATATGAATGGAAAAATAAATGAATAGCTAACTCAAAATAAAAATATCAGTGACTACTACCTTGATTCCTCTTTTAATAGTCAATGGCTTATGTGTATCCTAATTACTTAGTGTCTTAGAAAAAGCCTAAATTTCTGCCTAAATATGTACATTATTATACACTCACAATTCTCACTGTGAATTATCATGTCTTTTCAAATATTGACAATATTATTTGGATATCTATAAGGTGAGTTCTTAATCCATAACCTTCAAATAATCTATATTCTTGTTTTATGTTAGAAATGCACCCACATGTTCTGTGATTCTAAATTGCTTATCTTTATGGGTGCTGTGTAATATGGAGATTAAAAGATAATCCAGGACAGGCAGGGAAACTCAGCGAGCATCTCTATAGAGTGACAGCGGCAAGCTTGGATTGCATGTAGGGAATTTGAGGAGCATACCTCAGTGACTACTTTTCTTCTCTACAATAGATGCCTTCAGCTTAGAATGTCTAAACGTCAACCTTTATTAAAAGTGAGATTGTAACTTTCCAAATTGTGCCATAAAACGAGAGGAACATGCAGTCCTTTTGAGAAGATGGAATTTCAACTGTACAGCATGGTTCCCAGTGCCCTCCTGGTCCCCCTCCCCCAGCCTTACCAGTGCTGATCCTTTGATCTGCTCTGATTCACTAGAGAGCTTGATGTTTATCCCCTTCTCTCTCTCCTGCTTCATTCTTCCTCCTGCCTTACCCTTTGCTTGTTAAAGAGAACCTGACACTTTATGCACTGCTTGCTCCGCAGAGTCTTCCCAAGTGTAGCCCCACCTCTTTCTGCCAAGTAAGCTAACTTTCCTTGAGCTTAACCTCCACCACCACCCTGTACACACTACCACAGCACTTGTATGTTCAGTGATTAACTCTCCTTTTTTATTGCAATGCCCTCTTTCCTAGAAGTTGCTGTGCTCCCAAGGTAAGATTTACTCGGTTCCTCCGCAGGTGATGTTAGGAGTATCAACGTGTCTACGAGGGATTGGTACTGTCAGATGTCTACCCTGGTTTCGTTTTATTCCACCGTGGTCCACTTTTTGAAAAGGAAACAATGGTACAGTTTCTCAGTATGTTTTCAGGGGACTCCAGCTGTCAGCGTACACAGTCTGATTCACCATGGTTAAATATTGCTGTTGCTTTCCATTATTATATGACTAAATCTCAGGATTCAATTTCAGCGTCTATGTTGGGGAGTCTAAATAATGATTTCTACTTCTAAAGGAGTATTAAAATGATGTTGTAGGGTATTAGTCAGCTACTAGATGAGAAAAATCATTTGTCAAACTCTTTGAAAAACTAATTCTATATAATTAACTAAAAACAATTCAAAATCAACACTGAACAGAAAAGGGAATCTTTGGTTCATCCTTGGAGCAATTTTTGCAGAACTCTATAAAGGCAATGACTGCAGATCTGCACTTGGTGGAAAACCGACGAGATGAGCTTCGAATTGACATGATCAAGCAATGCCAGAAAGGCAAGTGGCAATTGGAAAAAAGATGGTGTATTTGACTTGGTAACAATTTACATGTAAAAAGGATTGAAGGCTGCTAGTTGACCATAACTTGGGTAGACCCCTAAGTGAGCTACTTCAAACTGACAAAAGGAAGTCTCATCTCCAGCAGGCACACGGGACTCTTCACCTCTGATAGCACAGGCACCCTTTATATAAATTCCCAACTTCATACAGAAGAACATGAAGTTCTATCATTATTTCATTTTCTTGCAAATGTTTTCTCATTTTCAATTTATATCATCTTGTAGTGTTTAATGTCTCTCTCTCATTTCTTACTTTGAAGAAGAAAAGCCTGAGCACTGACCAATCACTCCATCCACAGGGATGCAACCATGGCATGTTAATGCGACCTTGGACTGAGTAAACAGGAGTTTTCCTCTCTGAAAAGACAAGTTTGTCACAGTTTCTCGTAGCTTTGGCACATGTGTAGTACTGCACTCAGTGTAGAGAATACAGTCATTCTGACACTCTAGAGAGTAACAGTAACACGAGACAGAAGGAGGAAGGACATAGGATGCAAGAACGGTAGCCCACAAAACAAAGTGGCTTTGGAAATGCCCAAAGGACAGCAAGACCATGTTTGGTTGAGTACTAGAAGCTCACGACAGGATCAAATGATAGAAAAGATGAGCAGGCAGGTGGACCCAATAGGAATAAATCTTCTATCAAGTGTCACTGCCCAGGCATTCACTGCCGTGGATAAACCAGAAGTAGGCAGCACGCAAGTGTGGTAGGGAAGGAGATGTAGTTTTCAAGAGAGCGAACACTTTGGAGCTTAGCCCAGGGTGCACCCCCTATAATGTCCCCATGACTTCTGCATGTGTATCTTTGGACATGTCTGCACCACTTCACACACCAGTATTCGAGTGCTCTCAGTTTGGAAATCATCTTGTCTACCTGAAACCAGTTATGCTTGATGTGTGCTATGTACAAATTCAAAGTACTGACTTAAGACTGAACGTGATAACCCCAAGCCTTTTCAGCTCTAGGTGCCTATAATCTTGTGTTAGTGAATAATAAACTGAAACATTCACTATTTGCTTTGCCAGGAATTCTGCTGACCTATAAATAATGTGCCCAATTATTTATAGCATGCAACAAAAATTCAAAAATCATTTAGCCATGTGATATAACAGAAAATTTCTATGTATTCTTTTTGAAAAGAAAAAAATACTGTTAAAACATATGCACCGTATATTTGTAAAATAGAAACAGATCTAATATACTTGAATAATGATATGTTACTAGCAAAATCTTACTGGTTAATTCTAGATAGTGGTAAAAAAATGGTAGTTAAATATAGTTGCAATGTTTTAAGAAAGTTTGCTATGAGTGTAAAGATAGATTTATGTCTCCTTAACTACCAGAGGAGAAGTGCTGTGGTAAAAGGTGGACAGTTCAAAAAGCAAGAAGCAAAGATAAGTGTAATATAGCAAATAAGAACAAACTTATTAGCGACTTAATGACCATATACACTTTCATGATGCATTTGAAAGCTGCAGATTTTCAGATTAATCAGAAAGACAAAATCCACATTATTTAGAAGTGTTGCACTTAAGGCAAATAGAAACTGAATAAAAAGCATGTTAAAAGATTTTTAAAGTCCTAATCTAGAAACAGGGAAACTTTGAAGCAAAAGTATTAGAATGCCCAAACTTGTATATTTCTTACGGATAAAAGATATCTATTAAGACATGCCAATCACAAGACAGATGCACCTAAGAAAAATAACTTCACAGTATATGAAGTAGGATGTGGTTGAAATGCAAAGAAAAGTAAACGCGTCTACAATCAAAATGGGAGCAGTTATCTTATCAATGGGGATTTTTTTTTAAGTGAAAATGCAAACGTACCACATATCAAGATGCAGGGACTCATTTAGAGTTTTAGAAAATTTATTAGAGTAATTTAATATAAGCAATAATTAAAGGAGAGACTATATTTTAATT